GCATTCTCATATGCCAACACCGGCACTGCATTCAATGTGGCAGAAGCCAGGACCTATCCGGACGTGGGAGCTATTATATGACCTGCTTGGTCCATTGCTGAGTAACAAGGTGTGTTGCGGGTCCTCAACCTACCTGCCTCTGAGGCGGAGGGAGTCCCTGCGTGGCACGGTTGCGATGATCAATCATTTTCTCACTCACAATCTCCACTCTCATCATTTCCACCAGTTCGTCATAGGTGGAGGGATTTTTGCTGTGCACGTCCCTCCAGAACAAAGTGTTCATGTTGAGCCCACCTTTCAGGGCTGAAAGGGCTTCTCTGTTAGTGACTTGTTCACAGTAGGTGATTTCGTCTATAAACCTGGTGAGATAGCTTTTTAGCGTCTCCCCAGGGACCTGCCTCATATCTTGCAAGCATTGCGTTGGTGCCTTTCCTTCTCTACGTGAGAGGTATTGGTTCAAGAATGCTTTCTTCAAATCTAGCCAACTTCTAATGCTTAGGGGAGGAAGCTGCTGTACCACACTTCGACGGCTCCTCCTAGTGTTAAATGGAAGACTCTGCATTTCAAAGTGGGCGAGGCTCCCCTTAGGCTCATCTATATCATGTACTTGGTGAGGTGCTTCTCCGGGTCCCCCTTTCCTTCATATTTGGGGATCTTAGGGGGCATAAAATTTGCTGGCATTAGGAAGCTTCGGATCTCCCTTGAGAAATGGAGGTTATCATCATCGTCGTCAATTTTATAGGATCGACAGGGTCCATCTGACCCCGTATCATCGTGAATGCTCTGGGGAGGTGGAGGTGGAGGTGTTTCTCCTCGACTTCCCCAATCGACTAGGTTCCTCCTGTCTCTCCTATTTCTAGGAGGAGGAGGAGCCTGCTCTTGTTCTTGATCTGGACGAACTGATCTTCTCATCGGACGGACCCTATTTCTAGGATCCTCCCCTATCTAGTTAAAGACACTTGCCGACCTTTGTTCCCCGTATTCTTGAGGAAAATTGTTCCCCAAGTGTGGTTCTGATGGCTGGTTCCCTTGCACATATGATGTGACTTCGGCGTTCATATCTCTTTCGAGGGGGTGTTATGTGTGCCGGCTCATGTGGCCTCGGGAGTGAGATACAGGGGCTTCCTGCACTGGATAAGATTCTTGGGACATTTGATAGCCCTGTTGACCCTGGGCTTGCATGAGGAGTTCATGCATTGCCATATTCTGAGCTGCGATATCTCTCATACCCGCAGCTATTTGAGCCATTCTTTCAGTGAGCATGGTTGTTCTTCCACCTCGGCGACACCGGTGATGGGGTCTCTGATGAGTAACATTGTTATGGAGTACCTCTTCTTCAGAGGCCTCTCTCATGGGGTTGTCGTCTTCATGGCTATAGCTCATCCTATCTCCTTTTTTCAAGAGTGGTGAGAACTTGAATTGTAACTCGACTTTGTTCTTTTTCAAGAACGTGCCCTTTTCAGGGTTACTCGTTAGTTTTTCGGCAACTTCTCTGGTGGAGAATGCAGAACTTTGAACGGGAAGTGTTTCCCATAGACGGCGCCAATCTGTTGACCTCGAAAATTGGACCTCCCACGTGGCCAACCGATAGCTACTCCACGTATTCCTCCCTGCACACAATCAACGCACGGTCAGAAGCACACGACCGGGACCAGCGGGGGTGGCGGCGGTTGTATACACTTCGACGGTCAAGTCAAGTTCGGGTGGTCGGAACAGTACCCAGAGGTTGTGTCCAAAAACACTAAGGGGGAGGAGAAAATATATAAACTTACTATGGAGTGCTATGTAGTAAGAGTTTTATTACCTTTGCCTCTTGCCAAACCTTGAGTATTTATAGGTAGGATGAACCGTTGGATGCGGGACACGTCTATACATCTGACGGTATGAGGCGTCCGCTCATAGGCGTCAATCAGCCGCGTCTGTAGAGTGGGTGAGCAGTTTGTTTCTCCTGAGTTGAATTGACATAACGTTGATAAGTCACATCAACTAGCCTCATGGAGACGTCAAATCAATTTAAACCTTAGGTGCGGATCTTCTGACAGGGGTCCACTTGGACTCGGCCTCGGAGGCGAGGAGCTTCGGTCAGTTCAGCAAGATTGCCTATATCTCGCAGTGTGCTACTAGATTTTTGACATTGGTGATATCACTTCGAAAACACTTCGGATGATATCACTTCGGATGGGTGCATTCCGAAGCGGTTCAGATAATAGGGGCGTAACAAATAATTTCTTAAAATCATATTTTTCTTACAAATTTACGTCTTCATTATATTTATTAGTGTGATAGTACAGGGGTTAAATTCATCAGTGCCAACTCAACTTTACACTTGGCGTCATCATAGCCATTCAATTTGATTTTGTTTCACTATGGCTCTTAACTTTATACTTAGTGTCACTATGACCACCAAATTTGATTTTATTTAATCATAATTACTCAAATTCATATAATGTTTCATCATGAGCACAAATTTTATATATCATTTACCATGGCCATAAAAATATTTTTTTTTCACTATTTTCACTAATTTTAAAAGAACTAAAATGGTAACTTTGCATTATATACACAAAATAAATTAAAAATTAAAACTAAGATTAAAATTTATTTTAAAAAATAAAATATAATAAAATAAAAAAATATTTTAAAAAATACTTTAAAAAATGAAATAAAAGCTTATTTTAAAAAAGTTGGTTAGAAAAATAATATAAACCTTTGTTTGTTTTCCATTATTTACTCATTAAAATGAAAAATATGATCATTATTCATCATATTAAACCACCATATTTGAAAATTATCTCTTACGTGGGGTTCATAACGGCTATATTTTTTCATTCTCATTCTTATATTAACGTGACTCAAACGGGGTCAAAATAAAAATTTTTTGAAAAAAATTTCCTTTCAAAAAATAATAAAAAAATATTTTTTAAAGTAGTTACTTAGAAAGATAAAATAAAATAAAAACTAAAAATTAGAAAATTTATTTTTTAAAAATTATTTTTTATATATAATGCAAAGTTACCATTTTACCCATTTTAAAATTAGTGAAAATAGTGAAAAGAAATTGAGTGGCCATTGATAAATGTTATATGAAATTGGATGGGTATGGTGAAATATTATATGAAATTGGATGATCATGATAAAATTAAATTAAATTCGATGGTCATAGTAACACTAAATATAAAGTTACGCGACCATGATAAAATAAAATCAGATTGAGTGACCATAATAATACCAAAGGTGCGTTTGATTATCAAACTTTCATGAAAAATGTGTTTTTCACCTAAATTTTCACTTTTGTGCTGTTTGATTGACATCTTTTTCCACGGTAAATATTTTCCTAAATTTGGTCACGTGACCATATTTTCCTTAAAATCAAGGAAAATATTTTCTTTTGAGGAGAGTAAGATTTTATTTTTCAGAGAATTCACTCTCTATTTCCCTCTCTCATCCACCCATCATTAAAATGGACAAATATAATTTTTCTAGGTAAAAAATTAAATCAATTGCGCACATTTAATTAACAATTTTCATATATTTTTATGCAAATTTCATGCCTGCAATTAAATGCACCCATATAAATAGGCTTGTGCGCGATTTGATTTATGTTGGTTTTGACTAACAAAAATCAAATTAATCGGTTTGGGAGAATTTCAACCCAAACCAACCCACCATAACTCTTGAACCAAACCAAATCATGGTTAGTCGGTTCGAACTTTTAGTTCAAATTGATTTTTCTTTAAAAAAAAAGTCCAAGTTTTAGCCCAATTAGATTACAAGATTTAAAATAACTAAATAATTTTATATTATAATAATTATTGACTAATTAATAAAATTAGGTTATTAGAGATAGATAAACAAAAAAACTTAAGAATTTTGTTGTCTTTTTATATATTATATACCTAATTGTTTGCGTAGCGAAAAAAGACCAAGTATAGCCCTTGTTTGAACCCTTTTTTGGGGAAGAAATGAATTTTTGAATAGTGTATTGATGGAAAATGTGTAGTTAAAAAATAAAGAAAATTTTTGAATATGCATGTAATATTATTTTATTGAATAATATGTGGTTGAAATGATGTCAAAACACTATTGAAAAATGAATTTTTCCAAAAGAATGGAACTCAAACAAGGGCATAATATAATGAAACTTGTGAAAGAAAGTTTTCAGTTCTACTACTTACCAGCAACATTATAGATTGAAGGGAATCGTGATATAGTTATGATATTAGAGCTTATCTTTTGATTTTAATTTTTTCTTAAAAAAAGGTCAATATATAAGCGGGTTGGATTTGTTCAAATAACCAGCGGTTTGAGACTTCAAAACATGACAAAA